CCTTAAGTCCCTTTTCAATCTTTCCCCTCTCCATTTAAACCTATGTCCTCCAGTTTTGGACACCCCCACCCTGGGGAAAAGACTTTATCTGTTTACTCTATCCATGCTCCTCCTGATTTTATAAACCTCTGCAAGGTCACCCCTCAGCCTCCGATGCTCCAATGAAAATAGCCCCAGCCTATTCAGCCTGTCCCTATGGCTCAAACCCTCCAACCCTGGCAGGATCCTTGTAAATCTTCTCTGAACCCTTTCAAGTTTAACAACATCTTTTTCCTTTAGTAGGGAGACCAGAAATGCATGCAGTATTCCAAAAGTGGTCTAACCAATGTCCTATACAGCCACAACATGACCTCCCAACTCCTATACTCAATGCACTGACCAACAAAGGCAAACATACCAAATGCCGCCTTCACTACCCTATCTACCTGGGACTCCACTTTCAAGGAGCTATGAACCTGCACTCCAAGGTCTCTGTTCATCAATACTCCTGTCCTGACTTGCCTTTCCAAACTGCAGCACCTCACAGTTATCTAAATTAAACTCCATCTGCCACTCCTTGGCCCATCGGCTCAGCTGAGTAAGATCCCTTTGTACTCTGAAGTAACCTTCTTAGCTGTCCACTACATCTCCAATTTCGGTGTCATCTGCAAACTTACTGACCATGCCTCCTACGTTCACATCCAAACCATTTATATAAATGATGAAAGGCAGTGGAGCCAGCACTGATCCTTGTGGCACACTATTGGTCACAGGCCTCCAGTCTGAAAAACATCCCTCCGCCACCACACTCTGTCTTCCATGTTTGAGCCAGTTCTGTACCCAAATGGCTAGGTCTCCCTGTATTCCATGTGATTTAACATCACTAATCAGTCTACCATGAGGAACCTGGTTGAACGCCTTACTGAAGTTCATCAATCCTCTTTGTTACTCCTTCGAAAAGCTCAATTAAGTTAGTGAGACACAACCTTCCACACACAAAGCCATGTCGATGATCCCTAATCAGCCTTTGTCTTTCCAAATACATGTAAATGCTATCTGTCAGGATTCCCTCCAACAATGTGCCCACCACCAATGTCAGGCTCACCGGTCTATAGTTGCCTGGCTTTTCCTTACCACATTTCTTCAATAGTGACACCACGTTAGACAACCTCCAGTCTTCCAGCACCTCACATGTGGCTATCAATGATACAAATATCTCAGCAAGAGGCCCAGCAAACACTTCCCTAGCTTCCCACAGAGTTCTAGGGTACACCTTATCAGGTCCTAGGGATTTATCCACCTTTATGCATTTTAAGCTGTCTAGCTTTTTTCAAGATGTTTCTGCAGCTACTTTTTTAGAATCCTAGGACTTATGCAATCAGATGTGGAGAATTATTAGTTTTTAGTGCCTTAAATTACTCCTCTACTATATCTATCTTGATTTTAATTGCATTAAATTCCTCACTCTTGGTTACTCTTGTCTTCTGTTATATAATTGTTGTCTCCTACAATGAAGATAAACATAAAATATTTGTACAATGATTCTACTATTTCTTCTTTCCCCATGATAACATCCCCTGTCTCTGCTTCTAAAAAAACAACATTTATTTTAACTATTCTCCTTTTTATATACTTCTAAAAGTTCCTGCAATTTGTTTTCATATTCTTGACTAGTTTAGTCTCATTCTTCTTTTTCCCTTTTAATGAAGAGTTTGGTAGTCCTTTGTTTGTTCCTAAAGTTCTCAGATCTCAGGCTTGCTACATTTCTTTGTAACTCTACAAAGTCACATATTTTGGTCTAATGATATCCTTGACTTACCTGGCAAACTTCGTTTGAACTTTCTCACTGGAGACTGGTATCTGTGATGCTGGGGATCACTTGAGGATGCTGAGACAGAATCAGCCACTTGGCACTTCTGGCTGAAGATTGCTGTGAATCCTTCAGGCTTATCTTTTGCAACGATGTGTTGGGCTCCTCAATGATTGAGGATGGGGATATTTGTGAAGCCTCCTCCTCCTGCGAGTTGTTTAATTGTTCACCACTATTCATGACTGGACGTGGCAGGACTGCAGAGCTCAGATCTGATCCATTGGTTGTGGGATCACTTACCTCGGTCTATCACTTGCTGCCTATGCTGTTTGGCATGTTAGTAGTCCTGTTTGGTGGCTTCACCAGATTGACACTTCATTTTTAGGTATGTCTGGTGCTGCTCCTGGCATGCCCTCCTGCACTCTTCATTGAACGAGGGCTGATCCCCTGGCTTGATGGTAATGGTTGAGTGGGGGATATGCTGGGCCATGAGGTTGCAGAAGTATAATTCTGCTGCTGTTGATGCCCTACAATGCCACATGGATACCCAGTCTTGAGTTGCTAGATCTTTTTGAAGTCTTTCCCAATTAGCATGGTGATAGTGCCACAGGTGGAGGGTATTCTGAATGAGAAGGTAGGACTTCATTTTCACAAGGACTGTGCAGTGGTCACCCTTATCGATACTGTCATGGACAGATGCAACTGCAGGTGGCAGATTGATAAGGATGAGGTCAAGTATGTTTTTCCCTCTTGTTGGTTCCTTCACCACCTGCTGCAGACCCAGTCTAGCAGCTAAGGCTTTAGGACCTGACCTCAGTAGTGCTGCTGCTGAGCCACTCTTGGTGGTAGACATTGAAATCCCCCACCCAAAGTACATTTAGCACCCTCAGTACTTCCTCCAAGTGTTGTTCATAATGGAGGAGTACCTCAGCCATGGGAGGCAGCATGTGGTAACCAGCAAGAAGTTTCCTTGTCCATGTTTAACCTGAAGCCATGAGGCTTCATGAGGTCCGGAGTCAATGTTGAGGACTCCCAGGGGCAACTCCCTCCTGACTGTATACCACTGTGCCTCTACCTCTGCTGGGTCTGTCCTGTTGGGGGGAACAGGACATAGGGTGACGGTGGTATCTGGGGGACATTGTCTGTGAGAAATGATTCTGTGAGTATGACTATGTCAGGCTATTGCTTGACTAGTCTGCGACACAGTTCTTCCAATTTTGGCACTAGCCCCCATATATTAATAAGGAAGAATTTGTAGGTGAGACACGACTGTTTCTGCCGTTGTCTTTTCTGATGCCTGTGTTGATGCTAAGTGGTCCATTCAGTTCCATTTCGTTGTTGAGACTGTCACAATTGACACTACTGAGTGGCTTGCTGGGCCATTTCAGAGGGCAGTCGAGAGTCAACCACATTGCTGTGGGTCTGGAGTCATATGTAGGTCAGATCAGGTAAAGATGGCAGATTTCTTCCCTGAAGGACATTACTGAGCCAGAAGGGTTTTTCTGACAATCGGCAATGATTTCATGGTCATCAATAAATTCCTAATTCCAGACTTTTTATTTGAATTCATCTGCATTGGTGGGATTTGAACCTGAGATTGAGTGGCAATGGGGCCATGTTCTTGCCACTGAGGACTGCAGCTGTTTTGTGGCAATGCCAAAAACCCCATGTTTCAGCAACCACATATGAATCACAGTCCTTGCTGTGGTGTTCTCTCTTTACCACCAATGGGAATATACCAGGAATGTCTACCCCTTTTTAGCGACACACTTCCTCTTGTCTTCTGCATGCACCAATGGAATCTGCACAGTCTCCCTCATCATGAAAGCAGCCCCCGAAAATATCATCTCTTTCACCTCCGAGGAACAGTCACACATCTCTTAGAAGTTGCATCACCATGGCTGCCTCCAGTAGCTCAGAATTGATTCCTCAGTGGATACGTCGACTGGATTAGAGTTAGGATCATATGCTGGTGAGCACATCACTGCCACATCTCCACAGGCATCATGGAGAAATGCCCTGGGTTGCTGGCACTGCCAGGACTGCCAGAGATAAGATACCTGCTCAGCCCCAGGCAGGAGAAAGCACCATGGTGTTGGCCATTCATGACTTCACCAAAATGCACAGACATTGGGGCAATAGACAAGTTTGTCGGAGGCACTCGGCAAACTGACTCAAAGGTTGGAGGACACCACCAACACTGTTTGCACCAGGCCGCTTCTGGCATATGGCTGCCTCCTTGGACAGGTTGGTGGCTGACAGATCCAGTGTTTAGTGTCTGCTGGATACAGCACAGATCTGCACTCCATCATGTAACCATTAGTGTTCAGTACCAATGGCAAACTGACAGGGGGTCAAGTTACCTTGACCTTACTCTAGGTCCCCCTTCCCCACAAAGCAGTGTCAGGAGCAGCCATGGTGCCAGGACATTCCACCTCCATCCTGTCTGCCACACTCAGCCTCTGGGAAGGCACACTCAGCATGTCTGGGCCCTCTAGATTCAAACAGCCCCAGGGGCTCCTGACCAATACTCTAAGGACACCAGGTTTCACTGCAGGGCAGGCTTACTCTACATCAGCCGTGGAGCCTAGGATTGCAGGGAAAGAGAAAAGGACTTCTGAGGCACACAGGTGGCACAAGTGATACTTTGTTGAAGATGCATTCTCATGTGTAAATATATATTCACTGTTCATCATCAGCTGGATGGGTAAGTGTCATTGTAGCTGTAGCTACAAGATTGAAGGTACAGAGGCTGTATTTTTGTGACACTGTATTGTTGTGAGTGATGGAGTAGGGGAACAGGGAATGAAAATAGTTCACCCCTCCTAACTTAGTCATACCATCATGAATGAGTAAAAATAATCTCTGCCGCACTCTTATCTTCCTGTATCTTTCTAACATGCTATATAATACTCAGTTATTTGCTTTAAAATTTGGGTTTTCTGAACTCTTGAGTGAGGGAGTGAAATACCGTAGAATCATGAGACAATACAACAAGAAGGAGGCCATTAAGTCCACGTGTTCATGCTAGCTGTTTGAAAGATCTACCTAATTGCTTCTATTTTCTTGATCCGTCCCCATAAATCAGGATGTTTCTCTCTTTTTTATCCAATTTTGCTCTTGAAGGTTATTATATATATTCAACTGAATCTTTTAGGGTCCTGAGCCATGCGGGGAATATCAGGATGTGTGGTGCAGTTGGTGAAGAAGTCCATTTAGCCCTATCTCAGAGTCAAGAGTTGTGGTGAGACTCTTGCTAGGCAGCAATGTGTTGTTGGTTCAGGGTGATTAATGGTTGTTAACTGCCTTGTTGACAGCCCAACTAACCTCATTAGTATTCGGTTTCTGATCTTACTAAACTCGCCCAACAAACCAGATGTTGAAAAAACTAGACACGGAAACTGGGGCAAGTAGCTGGTGGATTGAGCTCACCGCTTGGTCTGAATAATCGTTTATGTTGGACACCAATATCTCAGGACATGCTTAATAGACACCGGCCATGTGGAACCACGTTCACAGTCATTGTTACCTGATGTGAGTCAGTCTATAAGACTCTCATGGCACATCTCCGAACCCCTTAGAGGATTCTTCTGCATTTTGATGCTGCAGCAAGGACATTGTGCACTCAGGGACCCACTCACTGTCATAGTACACAATCATCTGAACCTACCAGGATGCTCACAGCATCTCTGCCCTGCATTGCTTTGCCTTGCCTCTTTGCACTTTGCCCCCTCAGCTGGAAATATTGGCTTATATTACTGCTGACTTGCTTTGGTGTTTAGTGCTAACATAAAGGAAGGAATCTCATTCCGATTGTTAGCAATCAAGTCAAGGAGGTTAGGCCTCCCTGGGAGTCCTGGCAACGTAAGTCAGGGGCAACATCTGATACCAGTCCAGGGGCTTGGAAATGGTCATTCAGCCTCTTGGGGCAGTCAGAATCAGTATCCTCCCCAAGATATTCAAGTATCCTCTGAGGAGCCAAATGTTGGACAGCACACCAACTGGCTTGACTCTCCACTATGGTGGGCTATATTCTGCCTGAGATGACAGAGGGGCAGGTGTTATGGGAGATGAAAGTGGGTAGTACAGCTGGCACTCTTGGGGCAGGTAGGGAGGCGTCCTGAGTGAGTGAGTAGGCAGTGCAGAGGGCATGCATAGTTAGTGGTGTCAGGAGTTGAGGTGGGGTGATAACGACTGAGGGAACATGTTGCAATCATTAATAAGAGTGGTAGAACATAAGCCTTGGTGGGAGATGGATGCAGTTGTAGGGATAGAATAGAAAGAAGATGGTGACCCTTATGCTGGCAGAGTGTAGAAGGTCATTGGCCTTCTTCCTACAGGCATTCCTGGACAGTTGAGACTGTACTGACCTGGGTGGCAACCTCTAACCTGGCTGGCATGGTCTGGTATCATGGCCTCCACTGCTGGTCCTAGGGGAGCGGAAAGTCCTGGTCTGCACCACCCTGTCCAGCAGGACCTCCAGAACCTGCCCACAATGTAGGGCACTGGTTTCCCCTTGTCTGCCAACTCCAGGGAAACATCAGGAACCATACAAGGCAGCTCCGCATTGTCAGAGCTTGATCAGGTACACATCAGGTTTTTAAAGACTGTGTGGGCACAAAGGCATGCCAATAAATTTTGGGATACCTGCTAAGCTGTGAGTTATCCCAGGAATGGGGTGTTTTAAGGGGGGGGTGGGGGGGGGGGGGGGGGGGGGGGGGAGGAGTGGAGTGGTGGAGTGGTGGTGTGTGGTGGGAGGGATGGTGGGTGCTGGAATTGAATGTGACAACCCCTACAGGGACAGGGTAGGTAGTTAATGAAGAGAGTTTGGTAAGGTATGGCGAGAAAATCCATCAGGTCTCATGGCAAGAAACCCTCCAAAAGACTCGATCAAGTAAGATTCAGCCCTTGAGTCTGTTTCCACCCCCCTTTCAAACCATGTATTGAAAGACATAACAACTCACAACAATTTCATAAAAATTCTCATTTCCATTCCATTTTTTTAAACAATTATGTTACATTAGTTGCACTGATTTCTGACCCTTCGGCTACTGAGAACATTTTCTCATTAATATCCTTCATGGTTTTGAACATCTTCATTAAACCATCCCCTCACCTTCTCTGCTCCAAGATGAACAGTGCCAGTTTCTCAAATACCTAATTCAAGTTCTTTATCCCTGGTACAATTTTAGTAAGTCTTTTTTGTATCATCTCTAAAGGTGTACATTTTTGACTCTACATGTGATGATGTGAGGTTGTTGATGATACCAAAGGTATTGCAAATCTGTTTTTTTTCTTCCTCACAGACACCTCTAAGGATATCAAGATGATCATCAGGCACCTCCTGGAAATGCTGACTCACAAAAATGTCTCAGGACATGGACGGGATCAAGCACTTAATCTGCTAATCAGAAATGTGCCTCGAAAGGACCTAGGAATTAGAGACAACACCAAAAGCTTGGATGCAATCGATTTTGGTATGTATACTCTTCTTTATTTTGGATTTCTGATTTTCCCTGCCCAAATAACTTGGATAACTTTACCTTGCAGAGTTTCAGTATCCCGAGGCACTGTGGAAGAACATTTTTCTCCTTGTGCCAATACTAAGGGTTTAGCACAATAGCTTCCACAGGAGCTATGTTAATCTAAAACAAGACATCTGGCTAATCTTTGAACTCACCTTTGTAGGGGAGAGGGCTCCACATTTCTACTTCCCTTAGAGTGAAAGTGTGCTCCTTGATATCACATCTGCATTTTGAGATTATGTGCCCTGGTTCCGATGCTACTGCCCCAGGTCAGGTCTCGCTGTCACATTAACTCTATGTCTTGCCCATTGTGCTAACAGACCTGCTGAGTACTTTCAACATTTTCTGTTCTTTATTTCAGATTTCTGGCATCCGCAGACTTTAGCATGTGTGTTGGGTTGTCAAAATGATGTGTTCTTATATCACTTAAATTATCATTTTAACTGGATTTATTGGCACATCATAAAGGCAGTTTTGTGAATCCAAAGCTGCCAAAATCTATCCATATCCAATTCATGAATGTAATTTTCCATTTCAGGCTTGAAGAAGATCTTGAAAGTGGGAGGGCAATTCCCCGAACTGCCCAACTGTCTCCCCCTGACTGAGAATACATGCCTCACTGCTTCTATCTTACTCAACAAGCTCTACGATGATCTTCGCTGTGATGAGGAGAGAGCGACTTTTCGAAAAATCTGTGAAGAGTATATAACGTGGGTAGTGTGAGGAATCAGATTAGCTATTCAGTTTGACATGTTTATTTAAGACAGTTTGCCTTTATTGGTCAGTGCATTGAGTATAGGAGTTGGAAGGTCATGTTGCGGCTGTATTGAACATTGGTTAGGCCACTTTTAGAGCACTGCATTCAATTCTGGTCTCCCTAAAGTAGGAAAGATGTTGTTATACCTGAAAGGGTTCAGAAAAAGTATTAACAACAAGGATATTGCCACTGTTGGAGGGTTTTATCCATAGGGAGAGGTTGAATAGGTTGGGGCTATATGGAATGAACTGCCAGAGGAAGTGGTGGAGGCAGGTACAATGACAACATTAAAAAGGCATCTGGATGGGTACATGAATAGGAAGGGTTTCGAGGGATATGGGCCAAATGCTGGCAAATGGGACCAGATTAATTCAGGATATCTGGTCCCATGGATGACTTGGACCGAAGGGTCTGTTTCCTTTCTGTACATCTCTCTGACTCTACATTGCGTTGTCACCATTTGAGTGGCTTGGTCAGTCTTAGGTAGGGTATGGTACAAAAACACGGTGGTTATGGACAGGAACATGAATTGCCTGAGGGAGCTGGAGTAGAAGCAGAGACAATGTCAAAAGTAGTGCCTGCCGCCGCCCCCGCCCCCCTCCAAGATAACAGGCAATATCCCAGCATTTCTGGAACGTGCTGCAATTTTTAAAGTGAGGGTAGAGGAAGGGTGTCCTTGTTGAGCTTATTAACAGGTGGGGGCGGGTTCAAGAAGACAATTTTTGATTTGTAAATCATCAGTTAGTCATTTGGCTACTTTGGTGAGGCCGCTGGTCTTCTCAGGTGCTGTCTGCTCCCTATGCAGTGGCAGACCCCATCATAGCTGCTGCCTGCCTTTGCCACTCCTTCTCCCCAGGCAGCTCCTGCCTCCTGGTGACAATTAGCTCCACAAATTGAACCCCACGTTATGTTTCCATTTGATGGTAACAACATGTGAGCGCACCAGATGTGGTGTGGTTTCAGGACCTGGAAATTACCTGGGTGATGGATTGCCGACCCCACAGTGAGAAGCAAGCCCCCCATCATTGGGACTAGTAACCGAGAGGCCTGGATTATTGATCTGGAGGCGTGAATTCAAACCAGACTGCAGCTGGTGTGGACTTAAATTCAGTTAATTAAATATGTGTGGAATTAATGAGTTTTGTTCTCAGCGGCAGCAGCGTGAGCCAGAGCGCCGACGGGAAGGTAGGGAGGTTTTTGTTTCTCCCTGTATAAAAACTTACGTCGTGCAGCAAGCGGCCCTCTTGTTTTCAGCGGTGGGTGTGTGGAGGGAACACGAGCCAGGAAGAAACAGATAAATTCAGGCATTGGCTAAACCCGAAACACTACACGTGTAGTGTCTCCCATCCATCCTCCTCCTCTAACCAAAAAAGACCGTGTGTAGGTTCAGTAAGGTAAGGCTTTTTTTTATTCTTCTTCTGGAAATCTAGAGTAGAGAGAATGGAAGTTAGGGCAGTTGCATGCTCCTCTTGCAGGATGTGGGAGGTAAGGGTCACTGCTGGTGTCCCCTCTGATTTCACCTGCGAGAAGTGCACCCAACTCCAGCTCCTCAAAAACCGCGTTAGGGAACTGGAGCTGGAGCTGGATGAACTCCGGATCATTCAGGAGGCTGAGGGAGTGATAGAGAGGAGTTATAAGGAGGCGGTCACACCCAAGGTACAGGAAAAAGGTAGCTGGGTGACTATCAGGAAGGGGAAAGGGAATAGGCAGATAGTGCAGGGATCCCCTGTGGCCGTTAATAATAAGTATACTGTTTTGGATACTGTTGGGGGGGACGATCTACCAGGGGAAGGCCACAGCAGACAGGTTTCTGGCACTGAGCCGGGCCCTGTGGCAAAGAAGGGAAGGGGGGAGAATAGGAGAGCAACTGTAGTGGGGGATTCAATAGTAAGAGGCACAGACAGGCGGTTCTGTGGACGCAAACGAGATGAACGGATGGTATGTTGCCTCCTGGGTGCCAGGGTCCGTGATGTCTTGGATCGTGTCTTCAAGATCCTTAAGGGGGAGGGTGAGCAACCAGCAGTCATGGCACACATCGATACCAATGACATAGGTAGAAAAAGGACTGAGAATGTGAAAAACAAGTACAGGGAGTTAGGTTGGAAGCTGAAGTCCAGGACAAACAGGGTAGTTATCTCTGGATTACTACCAGTGCCACGTGATAACGAGGTAAGAACTAGGGAGAGAGTGCAGCTAAACACGTGGCTACAGGGCTGGTGTAGGAGGGAGGGTTTCCATTATGTGGATAATTGGAGCACATTCCGGGGAAGGTGGGACCTGTACAGTAAGGATGGGTTGCACCTGAACCGGAAGGGCACAAATATCCTGGGAGGGAGGTTTGTTCGAGCTATATGGGATGGTTTAAACTAGTTTGGCAGGGGTGGGGAACCGGATTTATAATTCAGAGGATGAGGTATTCGGCCTTCCGACAGACACAATAGGGAATGAGGTTGTTAATAAAAAAATGTGGTCAATGGACATAATTGCGGACACCGAGATGGTTTGAGGTATGTATACTTCAATGCTAGAAGTATCAGAAATAAAGCGGATGAACTTAGAGCATGGGTCAGTACTTGGAACTACGATGTTGTGGCCATTACAGAAACTTGGGTAACTCAGGGAGAGGAATGGTTGTTGGAAGTTCCGGGATTTAGATGCTTTAAAAGAAATAGGGAGGGTGGAAAAAAAGGTAGGGGAGTGGCATTGCTAATCAGGGTGAGTATAGCAGCTACTGAAAGGCAGTTCGAGAGTGATATGTCTACAGAGTCAGTTTGGGTTGAGGTCAGGAACAAGAAAGGAGCAGTCACTTTGTTGGGGGTTTTTTACAGACCCCCTAATAGTTGCAGAGAAGTAGAGGAGCAAATTGGGAGGCAGATACTAGAAAGGTGCAGAAGTCACAGGGTTATAGTCATGGGTGACTTCAACTTTCCAAATATTGATTGGAAACATTTTAGTTGTAGTAGTTTAGATGGAGCAGATTTTGTCCAGTGCGTTCAGGAAGGATTCCTGACACAGTATGTAGATAGACCAACATGAGGAGAGGCCACTTAGGATTTGGTGCCTGGCAATGATCTGGACCAAGTGTTAGACCTGTTGGTAGGAGAGCATTTTGGTAGTAGTGATCATAACTCTGTTTCTTTCACGATAGTCATGGATAAGGATAGGTACATATGGCCGGGTAAAGTTTACAACTGGGGGAAGGGTAATTACAATTCAGTTAGGCAAGAACTGGGTAACATAAATTGGGAACAGATGCTGTCAGGGAAGAGCACCACAGAAATGTGGAAATTGTTTAAGGAATGCATACTGCATGTGCTCGATATGTTTGTCCCTAGCAGGCAGAGAAGATGCGGTCAAGTGAGGGAGGCATGGTTCTCGAGAGAGGTCGAACGACTGGTTAAGAGGAAGAAGGAGGCTTATGTAAGGTTTAGGAAAAGAGGAACGGAAAAGGCTCTAGAGGGATACAAGTTAGCCAGGAAAGAGCTGAAGAAAGGGCTGAGGAGAGCTATAAGGGGGCATGAGAAAACCTTGGCGGATAGGATCAAGGAAAACTCCAAGGCTTTTTACACGTATGTGCGGAACAAAAGAAAGGGTAGAGCCGATCAAGGATTGTAAAGGGAATTTGTGCACAGAGCCTAAAGAGATGGGAGAGGTCCTTAATGAATACTTTTCTTCAGTATTCACAACTGAGAGGGACCTAGTTGTAGAGGAGGACGTTGTGAAACAGGCAGGTAGGCTAGAGGAGGTTGATGTTAGTAAAGAAGATGTGCTAGGAATTCTGAGGAAGTTGAAGATAGATAAGTCCCCCGGGCCTGATGGGATTTATCCAAGGATTCTATGGGAAGCGAGGGATGAGATCGCAGGGCCTTTGGCGATGATCTTTTCATTCTCACTGTCCACGGGTATAGTGCCGGAGGATTGGAAAGAGGCAAACGTCATTCCCTTGTTCAAAAAAGGGAACAGGGATAACCCCGGAAATTATAGACCAGTTAGTCTTACATCAGTGGTGGGCAAATTATTGGAAAGGGCTCTGAGAGACAGGATTTATGATCACTTGGAAAGGCACAGTTTGATTCGTGGTAGTCAGCATGGATTTGTGAGGGGTAGATCATGTCTCACAAACCTTATTGAATTCTTTGAAGAGGTGACCAAACACGTGGATGAAGGTGGAGCAGGGGATGTGGTATACATGGATTTAAGTAAGGCGTCTGATAAGGTTCCCCATGGTAGGCTCATGCAGAAGGTAAGGAGGCATGGGATAGGGGGAAATGTGGCAGATTGGATTCAGAATTGCCTGACCCTTAGAAGACAAGGGGTGGTAGTGGACGGAAAATATTCAATATGGTGCTCAGTTACGAGTGGTGTACCACAAGGATCTGTTCTGGGTCCTCTTCTATTTGTGATTTTTGTAAATGATTTGGATGAATTTCGCGGACGATACGAAGGTGGGTCACATTGTGGACAGTGCTGAGGGCTGTTCTAGGTTACAAAGGGACATTGATAGAATGCAGAGCTGGGCTGAGAAGTGGCAGATGGAGTTTAACCCTGAAAAGTGTGAGGTGATTCATTTTGGAAGGACAAACTTGAAAACAGAATACAGGGTTAACGGAAAGATTCTTGGCAGTGTGGAGGAGCAGAAGGATCTTGGGGTTCATGTTCACAGTTCCCTGAGAGCTGCCACTCAGGTGGATAGAGTTGTTAAGAAGGCATATGGTGTGTTAGCTTTCATTAATAGAGGGATTGAGTTCAAGAGCCGTGAAGTTATGCTCCAGCTATACAAAAGCCTAATTCGGCCACATCTGGAGTATTGTGTCCAGTTCTGGTCACCTCATTACAGGAAAGATGTGGAAGCATTAGAAAAGGTGCAGAGGAGATTTACCAGGATGTTGCCTGGAATGGAGGGAATGTCTTACGAGGAAAGGTTGAGAGAGCTAGGGCTTTTCTCTTTAGAACGACA